TGTTTTTACGTACTTTGTTTATTTACAAATTAAAATTCCTTTTTTGGGTTGTATTACCGGCACAAATAAGTAAATCCGTGCCCGTAGACCGTCCGAGTTACAGGGGTTAGATTTTTTGGCGCGATCACGTGCCATAGAATTTTTGGTGCTGATACTGGGGAAGACAGCTGTGTTTTTCTGAAGTGACTACATTTATTTTTTCGTGTCAAATAATCTTGTGCCCCAAAAATATTGCATCATTTACGCAATGAATTCTTTATCCTATATGTCGCGAAGACCATATGTAAAATTTTCTAGACTTAGGCTTAACAGTGAAATTTTGTTTAAAAGAAGTGTACGTTTTTTTTTCAGTGGAAAACTGCTCAAATAACGAAGGCAAAACAACCTTGCAGCTCAAAACTATAAGAAATATTTTAGAAAACTCGATACCTGGTTCTAAAGTTGAGGTGTATGGTTGGATACGGTCTGTACGAGTTCAAAAGAACGTGTCTTTTGCAGTCATCAATGATGGTTCGAATCTAAAAGGCATGCAGGCTATTCTTACAAGTGAAGAAGCCAAGAAGTTCCGTAGAGTTCATTATTTTTTATAACGAAATAGAATTTCAAGTAAGAACTGACGATTAATCGGTAATTCATTAAACACGATGCAGATTGATGACTGGTGCATGTGTTAGAATTCGTGGAATTTTGACCCAAAGTCTTGGTAAAGAGCAAAGCAAAGAATTGCAAGCACATCAAGTCGAGATTTTGGGAGAAAGTGATTCGGTAAGGTATATCAGATGCCAAATTTAATTTATACTATACATTCCAGTGAAATATTGAGTTTTTTTCTATTAGTCATATCCTTTGCAAAAAAAATATCATTCTATGGAATTTCTCCGAGATAATTTACATCTCAGATCACGGACAAATCTCTTTGGTGCAATTTTTAGAGTTCGAAACGCTGCTATAATAGGTTTTCAAAACTTTTTCCAGGTATACATTAATTTAATATCTCTAATGTTCAAACCTCTATACCGATTTAACTAATACAGGTTTAATCTCACAAAGAAAAATGAATTCTTTCAAATTCACACACCTATTATAACAAATTCAGATTGTGAAGGTGGCGGAGAAGTGTTTAAGGTCTCCACTAACAAAACAAAAAATATTAAGGATGAACATACTAAAGACTGTTTAACAGGGAAAGAAGCGTATGACTTTTTTGGATCACCTGTATATTTAACTGTTTCGGGACAGCTACATGCCGAGATTTTTGCCTGTGCAATGTCAAGAGTTTATACGTTTGGTCCAGTATTCCGTGCAGAAGAATCTCTCACATCAAGACATTTGGCAGAGTTTTGGATGTTAGAAGCAGAGATCGCATATATGCTTAATTTAGATGAATTATTGGACTTTGTGGAGTGCTGTCTTCGAGAGACTACAAGGCACATACTCAATACTTGTTCACAAGATTTGGAATTTTTTAACCAATGGGTTGATAAAGAGCTTTCTACTCGTTTGGAATACATCACAAATAAACCTTTTATACGTATGACATATTCAGAAGCTATGGATATACTTTCTAAAGCCAATAAAAGATTCGAATTTCAACCTATACTAGGTATTTCATTTCACAGTGAGCATGAAAAATATTTGGCAACCGATTATTGTCGTGGTCCAGTTTTTATTACAAATTACCCTAAAGAGATAAAACCATTCTATATGCGTGTAAATCCGGAAGGAAAAACAGTAGCATGTACCGATTTACTTTTCCCCAAAGTCGGAGAGGTAGTTGGTGGAAGTCTAAGAGAGGAACGCTATCAAGAGTTAGTACAAAGATTAAAAGAATTTAACTTGAATACAGAAGAATTTCAATGGTATCTTGATTTGCGAAAATATGGGACTATTCCTCATGGTGGATTTGGGATTGGATTTGAAAGATATTTACAATATGTGACTGGTATAGACAATATACGCGATGTAATACCATTTCCAAGATCAACAAATTATTGTAAAATTTAAATTTTTAACAAATCTTTGAATGGGTAACTTGAGTGAATAACTTGGAAATTTTCATAATTTATGTGATTTGCTTAAATTTATGATATTTTTAATACAGTAATACTTGATATAATATTTTAGAATAAACAAAATTTCTGAGCAAACTTTTATAATTACACCCTTCATAAATGCATCCACTATGTAAATTCTCTAGATGAGCGCTCTGGTATGGTTCTAAGTACATAGAAACATAGTAAAAATGCCTTGGTAAATGCACACCCTCCCTGAACATTTTTAAAAAAATTTGTTCTATAATCTCTCGAGGGGATGCAATTATACGTAGAGGTTTGGGCTGCATTAAGTTTTTATTATTAATATACGTACGTACGTAAGTGATTTCTATTTGTAAGTACGCTGCACTATATATGTACACGGGTATGTAGAAAAGTCAATTAGGATGCACATTCCTTAAAAATATCTCCCTTTGGGTTCTAAATAAAAATAAAAAAATTCCTCGAGAAATTTGATACGTATAAACTATTGTTCTATTCTAACCTTAACCCTATGCGAGGTTTACTTGTTTTATAAAAAATTGTTATATGCAGATTAATACCCGTATATAATACACTACGTGTAAACTAAAGAAAGTTTTCAATTCTCTATAATATATAAAAATAAAATTAAGAATCGGGTTCCATGTTAATTTTTAAAATTTTATGTTAACCATTAATTTTATGGCTTATTATTACTTCAATAGTCACACAACTTTATAAACATTACGTGAAAGTTCACCGTCTTGTACATTCCACTAATTTTTAAACCTTCTAGTAGACCCTGGGTCTAGTACTCGCCAAGAGCTTATGACGTGAAAAAAAAATTTAAGTGCTTACACACCTTATATTTATAATAGGCAGTCTAAAAAAACCGCATTTAATTCATAAAGATTCTAATTCATGGTGGGTCTGCTATTTTGGGGAATCTTGTATATGAACTTTACGGTAACAAAATAAAAAAAAAAAAAAATTACTAAATGGCAATTAACTTTACAAGAATGCCAATTTATTGACTTTCCTCAACTTTCAATAAATATAAAAAACATAAGATCTATTTTTAAAGAATGTCGGTTAACCTTAGTTTAATGCAAATTAGACATAACCCGATTTTAAATTGTATTTATTAATTTATTTATGTTGTTTTTGCTTTACAAACGTCTTGTATATCTTTTAAAACTTTTCTCACGCGATCAAGACCGTCCGAATAATTACCATAGATTGCAATTAAGGACGATATTTCTTCTATTTGTGAATCCTGTAAATAATTAGGTAAATTATGTCACTTTTTTCGCTTATTCCGATTTAATTCATTATTCCAAATAGGTCATGAACGTACTACAGTCTTGTCGGCAACTGTGTGACTTCCGAACCATTCCAAGCTCCTCAAATCATGTGGTAACAAAGCGATACTTTGTGCAATTGCCGGGAATAATTCCGAGAAATCCCTGTGATAAAGATAATTGGTTTGATTCATGTTACATTTTCATTCCCATACGATAAAGAAAGGATAATACTTGTGGTATTCTGGTTCAAGGTCGATATGTTCACCAACAAAAGGGTCTTTAAGTCTCATTAAAAGAACTTGTTTATTTGACATGATAGATTCCACGTGTTTACTAAAACCGGATAGCATTGAAATCTTTGTTTCTAAATTACATTAAATCACTAAGTCAACAGCATGCTTTAAATGAAATTTAATCCAATGAATCAGTGATTCTAACCGAGTTCAGATTCTTTAACCAAATCAAAACTTTGTTCGGAATCTTTGAGCTTCGTTAATATTTCTTTGATCTATGGGATTTATATTTGTTGATCTTTAGAATTTTTTGATTTCGAAATATTTTAATGTTGATTGAATGAAACCTTTTCGCTTCGAACGCGAAGAGAAAGTAATTCGTCTAACAAATCGACTAAATGAATAGATGTTGCTGTTTTTGTTGAAAACGGATCTGGCTCCTACGACGAATTTTCACGATAGACGCGTTAATATTAATGTCTATATAAACGAGGTGAAGTCAATAGAAGAGAAAATAAAAATTTATATAGAAAAAATTTATTCCTTTTCTATTGACTTCCCAAATAAAGAAAATATATTACGCTAATGTATCCTATTCTTTCTGCTAATTTCAACACGCTTTCAAGTGAAGACATTATTTTAATTTCTGGCGTTTCAATGTACTGGTAGTTATTATTATAAACGCACAGGGGGTGTGATCGGTGTACCATAAAATTCCACCGTCACGTGACAGTATTATAGCGCACGAAAAAACAAAAATTTTTTTTATTGAAGCGCAAAAGGAGGTTTCTTATTTGTTTTGATCTTCCTGATCGATTGGCTGTATAGTTTAATGATAATCTATCTGTTTATATCATGTGCTGACAATATGGTTTTTAATTGGTTGATTGCCACATGAAAGATTCGAACAATACGAAAATGTCGGGAAGGCAATCTTGCTTATATAAAACTACCTAAAACCTAACCTAACCCTAAAGTTAATTCAATAAATATTATTTGAATTTGCACCGCTTTAGACGTCCTCTCTAAACAGAAATCGGGTCGTCTAAAGCGGAGACAAATCATGTGCCTATCGGCCAATCAAATTATAGAATTTTGATGATCGCCGACAAGAAAAATGAAATAGGCAATTTTGCATATATATAACTACCTAAAACCTAACCTAACCCTAATATAGGATAACCCTAAAGTTAATTCAATAAATATTTATATAAATTATCTCCGCTTTAGACGTCCTCCTTTAGATGCATCGGTATGTAACACAAAACCGTTACATTAAAATTCTTGGCTTTTTAGAACGTTTTTTTTGAATAAAAGTTTTCGAAATTCACGTGAGCAAGTTAGACTGTGAAATATATTAAAGATTATCGAAATTATCAATCGGTTTTACAAAAAATCATAGAGGGCAACGATCACCAAATGAAATCAAACTTGCTTGACTATGCTAATCGAAAACCAGCAACACTTAGAGCCAAGAATAAGTGCTTATTTGTGCGGGTGATACAAACCCGAAAAGGAAACACCGTAAAATAAACCAAGTTCGTGAAATTCATGGTTAGAACGTTAAAGTCAGAGGTTATAGAAGTAAACAATCACTTCCTATATGTGAAATTTCATTCTTGTTTTTAATTAGTGCCCAAGACAGGTTTAAACACTCATTTTCTTTTTTTTTTGTTTGTCTTTCTGGTTTTTCCTCGCTTTGCTTACGCATCACTCGTACAAATATGCACGCGAGAATAGTCTGGTTAAATTCAGACTAGAATAGATTAGTCACGAAATTCAGCAGATCGACCAAAATTCAGGGTCTAAATAGGCCGGAATTGTTAAATTTTTCCTAACAAAAAGTCAAACAAAAAGGGGCCTAGCTCCGGCCTATTCCGTCCCTAAATTTTGGTCGATCTGAATTTTGGTTGCGATTTTCCAGGATATGAATATTTCCATTGCTGCATTGTTAGCGTTTTTATTCGTAAATCCTATGTAGCATATATTCTAATTATTTTTGTAATATATTCGGAAATATTCATAATTATTACAAACATTCATAATTATTGCGAATATTCGTAATTATGAAAATCGTACCCTGTATATTTTGTTTTGAAATAACGCCCATGCGCGTCTCGAAATAACGCGTATGTTTTTTGACATTCATAATAAATACTTGCACGTGATAATCGTGAAGAATCTTCACGGTTATCATGTGCAGACAATTTTATTATGTTTGTCAATCGTGAAGATTGACTAATGCAATAAAAAAAAACTCATACATTATCACTGCAGAAACTTCTTATTATGTCAATCGAGAAGGCTCTTTACGATTAAAAAATCGATCTGTTATTTCGAAATATATTTCAAGAATTTACGGTAATAATTATGAATATTCGTAATAATCATAAAGATGTTCATAAATGTTCAGAAATACATTCCCCAAAAAATTATTATTAAGGGAAATACTATTTGTACACTACATGTCTGTACACGAGCATGTTTATGTCTTAAATTTTGATTATTAAACAGACAAAAAAAATTGTATAGATTATAACTCTAAATTTTTTTGTTCAATGCTGCACAAATTTGTAATCAATAAATTAATACTAATACTGTACTATATACATACACTGTGTTTGTTGAGTTTTTTCTAATAAATATTACGTATGAATATTCATATTTTCTAAATATCATATAAATAATTACGAATATTCTTATGTAATAGATACTAATAGTTGAGTGAGAAATCGATTTATATGTGGATTGTTTTTTATTTTTTTTCGACTGGAAAAGTGTAATGAAACTATTTACGCGTAGATACTATTATATAATTTAACGGTAGATATAATAATTTAACGATTTTTTTTCTCTGCTTTTAAATTAATGTATAAAATGTATGCAGCATTTAACGCATTTAACAGGTAAATTGTATGAGTTGTATCTGACAAGTTAGCAAATTGATTCCCTTATCGTTATGCAAGCAAAAACGGACTTGAAGTCGATATCCGGACTCATACACCAACATTATAGAGATATTTTTTAATATTTCGCATACTTCTATTCGACAATTCAGATTATTTGTCGTTACGTCGGGTTAACCCCGGAGGTCGATCCCTAGGTCCGCTTTTGTTTGACATAAGGGAACCCTGTTGTATCGATTTTATCTTACGAAATACATGAACTATGAAAGTTTCAAATCTATTTTTCGAAAATTTTTTAGCCTTTCGCTTCTTATCGATAATATAATTTATATTTCGACAATTCACAATGGTACACTATCTTTTCAATTTCTTCAGCGATAATTTCTAAAAATTATTATGAACTTTTAACGTTTTATTTACTTGTATATATATTTTAAAAGAGCTCTTCAGGCCAAGCGGATCCAGAAGATTACTATGTGAAACAAGATAGAATAGGAAAGAATATTATTATTACTTGTTTGATGACTACTGGATAACATTTATTTG